CACATGTACAGACCTCGCTCACGAAAACCTAGATTGTCTCCGACCCCAAGTCATTTCCCGACGAACTCCTCATCTCCGACTTCAAGCTTATCCTCGGCGACACCAATATCCTCAGCACTTGGGGTGGTAGTGGGGGTGATGGAGTTGGTGAGATCTCTGGAGGCATGCAAATTTCCTCTCTATCTGTGCGTGTGTATGTTACGTGTGTTTGTGTGTATTCTATGTGTGTATTTGAATTTGGTGTGCAAAGGTGTTTTTGTGGTGCATTAGTTCAAATCGTGTGTTGGTGTGTGCGTGGATTGTGGGTATGCTTATGTGCGCGTGTGTTTAGTTGGAAACGATGACTGCTGGGTATCTGGTGGGTACTTGGTGCGTATCTGCAGAGCGTGCGTGTTTAGAATCGAGGGTGTGTGCAAGTTTGATTGATAAGTTTTGGAGAACAGCTCATCTGTGGCTGATGTGTGAGTGTGTTTGAGGTTTGAACGTGTATCATTCGTGAGTGTAGCGTGTTTCCTGTGTGTCTCGCCTTATCACGTGTGTGTGTCTGTGTGTGTGTGTGTGTGTACAGGTATGTTCTCTTCCACCATCTATCTGTTCGACTGACTTGAGCTGTACTAGTTAGTTGTCAATGTGCTCAAACCTAGCTTCGCGTGTTCAGCTAGTTATCCTGAATTTTTTTACATATTTCAAGTTGTGGTTTGTTAATTGAGTTGAATATTACATTTTCGGAAGATGTTTGTCGGCTTGAATATAAGTGTACGTTTGATGTTTTCTATGGCAGGTGTGCTGGGACGACATCTTGAGAGACAAGTGCAATACCATTAGTGAGGTTCGTCGCAGGACAACTAACTCACAGCTGCTAGAGCGTCGCACATTGAGAAGCATTTGGAACAAGTTGAAGCAACTGCAAGCAAGTAGCCGTTGGACCGAATATGCTCTCCCGGCATGTGCGATGTGCAGATGTGTGCAGTCCCACGCACATTTATGACAAGGGCGAGGATGTGTCTCTTCCCTCGCGCACACTTCTCTTCTATTCCCACCACTGCGGCCCGATCTAACCTAAACAAATACACCCTCCCCACATCATTACACATCCAAACACCCATTCTTCACTTGTCATATTCTATCCATTAACACTTGACACCTTGACCGAAATATAAGCTGTTGTCAAATTTGCAACACTAGTCTGGCTCGAATTGTACCTAATCAATGTCTTGAGGGAGAGTGTATTTTCGTGTGTGTGTGTGTGTGTGTGTGTGCATATTGGGGGATTGTTGGGGGTGCGTGTATCTTTGTGACCGTTCTGCTTTCAGAACGTGAACTGAAATCAGATGTGCAAATCCATGAAGACGTGATTTGTTTTTGTGCATGAATTGTGTGCTGTTTGTGCAAGTGTCTATGCGTGTTATTCCATACGTCAAATGTTTTGTTAGCATAATCAACATTCCCAATTTGCGTATCCATCGTGCATGTTCTTAATTCTGAAGCATCTAACTTCTTCGCAATCGGACGCGAATTGGCATGATATTTGGTCGAAGGCTTCTCAAGAATAGATTCGACGCAAAAGGTCTTGTGTATGAGAGTTTGTCTATCCTAAAAAGTTGACAAACATCCACACAGTTTGCGAGTCCACTAATTATAGCTCAAATACGTGAAACCGCGTTAGTAACAAAAGTGCTAACATCCAGACCTAGGTGGGAGTTTTCTCACGTGTAGTGGTAATGACGGATAATCGCTCACACTAATGACTTGTCACCTGGACTTCCAAAAGTGCTAACAACCAGTCGAAGATTAAATTTCTTCCCTTCGGCTGACGACGCAGACTGTGTCGAAATGTATCATCACATAAAGCGATTGGATTAACGAAAGTGAGTGGGCTCAAGCGACCTTGATTGGATGCAACGCACTGTAAATCGAAGCTTGTTGGATGTCTCATTTCACAGCACGCGCAGCAGACCTACTGGAACCATCTTGACTACATTCATCTCTGCTATTGTGCACGATGTCAGAGCCAGTGCTTCCACACGATATCACTTTACGTGTAAACTGCTTCTTTCACGTTCTTATGTCAACATAATTGCATTTGCATTGCATTCGACACAAGCCCTGAGAATATCTCGCATTATTGTGTAGCTTAAGTTTTGGATGTCGTGGATTAAGTATGCGTGTGCGTAGTCGGGCCGAGTAAATGTGTTGGTGGATCGTCTGTTGCATCCACAGTCTCATCACATTCGAATCGTCGGGTTGCGTAAACAATTACACCACTCTTGATGAATGACTTGCGGTTCCCTATGATGACTCACATGCTTCGCACAACTTCATCGTTGTTCCCACTGTTGCGTCATGGCAGTTCAACAACAAAATATCACCCAATTCGAATTACGGAATGTTAGTTAGCTCCATTAAATACGTACAAAAGTGCATCGTTCTGCACACAAACAGATTTCTAGTTGTTTGGCATGCTGCCACACCATCCTTCTCCCCCCAACCACCTACTCACCAAACCTTCTACTCCGACCCTGTTGACACTTGAACCCGTTGAATCACATTCGCAACCTCCACCAGCAGCTTGAATCCGTGTGCGGGCGAGTGGGTGTTTGGGTGGGTTTGTGGGTGGGAGGATAAAGTTAGGCGGAGGGAGGATCAGCATGGCAAACACCTTCTCGTCCTTGTCGTATCTGGAGCTCGCGGCCACACAAACTCGCACACACGCACCGCACTGCACGCATCACAGGATCGTATAGTCGGTCCAACGGCCGGTCGCCTGCCGTCGTTTCACCTTTGCCCGCCCACATGCTACTTGCGTTACGACGTGCCTGCAACTGCGGGTTCGACTTCATGCCACAAACCGTACTCAAACTGGGGCAGGGGCAACTCCCGAAGTAATCACTAAACGGCTGAAATTACAACCAACCACAACAACTGATTGCATCTACGTAGACAAATAATTACGCAACATTCAGGTTCCTGCTAGACTTATGAACATTGACAACCACAACTAGCAGGCAATAGTCGTGCTCAGGAAATGATATTACCTTTCGTGTCAATTTTGAGTCCAAGGAACTAGAGGCTGATTTCGGAAAAAGGATTTATTATGACAAGTTGAAATGCCATAAGCAGTGAAATGGCCAAGTACTTGTCTTAGACGCATCAAATGATATCCAAAATGCCTAAGAGAGTATACTTATTATAGCTGAGATGTGTAAAACAGCGCGATTCACACAAGTGCTAACATTTAGACGTAGGTGAGAGTTATCGCACATGTAGTGGTAATGCCGAATAATCGCTCTCATTGATGACTTGTCACTTGCAGTTCCAAAAGTGCTGACATCCAGTCGTTGATTAAAGCTCCCCCCTTCAACTGATGACGCAGGCTGCGAAACGTGGAATCCCTGTGTGTCATCGAATAAAGCGATCGAATGAACGAGCGTGAGTTGGCTCAGGCGAACCTGATTGAACTCAACTCAACGTAAAATTGAGTCGCGTTGGATGTCTCATTTCACAACACTCACAGCAGCTCAACCGGAACCACCTCGACTGCATCCTATTCTGCTATTGCCCACTATGTCTCATCCTGTGCCTCCGCGTGGTCTGCGCAAATCCGTAAGCTGATTCTGTCACCCTTCTTTTATTTCATGACATTTCCCTTTGTCTTGCATTCAACAAGCGTGATTTGAGCACGTTTATATGTTGGTTGATGGATGTCATCGTTTGACTGGGTGGATGCTAAAGTTGATTGACATTAATTGATACATGGGGTATTTGTGGAATCTGTCACACAAGGCGTCTGGCGTTGTGATGCTTCTGAGGCTTCTGGGTGTGTTTTGTTAAATATCTTTGTTACAGCTGCGCAATAGGCCTGGGTAGATGTGTTTAACCACAGTCCCATCGCACTAGAGTCGTCGTTATATGTGGACAAATGCAAAACTCGTGTTCGTTGACTCACATGGCATGCACATTTCCATCTTCTCAGCTGTCTGCTTTGTGCTTTCCCAAGTGGCGTTTTCACCAAGATTGTGTCGCAAATTAGACAAATCATGTGTTTCTGGATAGCAGATGGACTCAGTGCTTAACTTGGTTGCTAAAGACACAGTCAAGTTATCGATGACTGTATACAATCTGATGCAACAGTGTGGTGCAGAGGCGCTGGGATGTGTAGGTGGGTGTGTGTGCCAGTAAACCTAACTGTTGTTATTGATTGTGCAGCGCCAGTTACGACTGCAAAGTGTGGAGCAGTGGATTAATGGCATTTCGTCGGACTCACCAACTTATCGGCAGATTGCATTACCCCAAATTGACATCAGCTCAGACTCAGAGTCCTTCAGCGACGAACTCTCTGACTCCGACCACTCGGCAACCTGTGGTGACACCAGCGTCCCCAGCATCAGTGATGATGATAATGATGATGATGATTGGAACTGCAAAGGTATGCGAAATCCCTAGCTTTTTGTGTACTATTGTGTTTCGTGTGTTTTCGTGTGCATTCTATATTGGTGTGCTCGTGTAAAAGCGTGCAGCTTGTGGATGTGTGCGACCAAGTCAGTGTTGTGCAAGTGCTTGTCCGGTGTTTCGAGTGTGAATGGTGTTTGTGCGTGCGGAGGTGTGTTCGTGTGATTTGTTGCGCCTGACGGCTATGCAAGCACGGATTATTCCTCTCATCATCAAACAATTCGGTTGGTCGAATTTCCCCTTTTCGATATGGATCAATCGGTGCACCTTTGGCATTGAAAATCTCCACTGCTCCACGTAACTCATGTCGCCTTCTCACACATTTTTACCTAATGCTGATTTGTCACAGCATCACGTGATCACAAGATTGTGCTTCCATCCCCTGTGAGTGCTTGGGTGCCGGGCTGGCTTACGGCCACCGGGTGATGTCAAGATGAGGCGGTGTCGTGGGATCGCCTAATCACATCCACGTTTTTGCCGGTGTGTGACTGGTTCTTGAAGCTGAGCTTTTTCAATGTCGATTTGTAGGTGAAGAGAAAGACGACTATTACATGCAGCAGGAGCAACATTTGCAGGAGGGCTACGCCAGCAGTGGTGATGATGGTGGCAGCATTTATCAGTTACCTACCCGCATCGAGTCCTACCATGACGCCATGCCTCCTCGCAACACGACGACCGCCCCAAGAGTAAACCACTTACCACCACCTCCTACCCCTCGCCGTGGTGGTAGCAACTATCAGTCACCTACTCACATTAGGCACTACCATGGCGCCACGCCTCCTCGCTCTCCTCCGTTTCCTTACGACCGCAGTTCCAGAGACAGGTCTCCACTGCAACGAACTTCGAATCGGTTGTCCGGGGAATATAAGGCATGGAATGTTGGCAAGGTGTGTAAAACCACCTTTGCATCTTTTAGTATAGTTGCTTTTTTTATGTTTTCCTCATTGCTTCTTTACCCACAAATATCTTTCTACCTGGAGGCAATAAGTAGAGCTGTCATTTGTTTACTTCAGCTGCATCGTGACAACTTCGCCGATGGCAAATCCTCCAGATTGCATGAGGCTTCTCTCAGGATGAGTTGTCCAAAGTCGCAGGCACGTCGAGCTGTGAGAAACATGCAGAAAATGATGAAACGACTAGATGTGGGCTGTCATCGGACCGACTATGGGACGGCGTAATATGTACGGTGCTCGGGTGTTGTGGAGGAGAGGGTTTTCTGCCATGCTCTCACATTATTTTACTCCTCCAACCTACCTATTTTCTCAACTTTCTACTTTTCACACGTTGAATAACTTTCGTAACTGCCTACCAACAGCTTGCATCCGTGTGCGGGTGCGTGTCTATGTCATTAACTTCTTACACTGGTCCACATTCGCCATTGTTCTGCTTTGCTTCTAAATCCCCTCTCCAACTCAATCTGCACATGCCGTTGCCATCTCTGAGTCCCAATCTGCACGTACCCGTGCATCTACTTCCTCACTCCAATTTCCCGCCTCCTCCACCAATCAGCAGGCCACATCGATACATGCATCTTTTCACTTCTCAGGTTCTATCCACCACCATTTAACCCGAAAAAGGAAATAAACATTATTGTATTATTTGACATACCGATCTATTTTGCACTTTGCTGAGTCAGTTGTCAGGGGAACTGCATAGTTCAATTGTCTAGTGTGTGTGTGTGTGTGTTTGGTGTAATACGGTGTGGTTTTGAGTGTGCCTGGTGTGTGCGTGTGTATTTAAGATTCAATGTGGACTAGTCGGCACAATTAAGTGTTTTTGTTATTGAATTTGTGTGTGAGATCATGTGTCATCTGATAAAGAACTCCAATCTGGTTTGCATTTCCGCCACTCATTTGCCACGGCGAAGGTGTGTTTTCGCGTATCGGCTGTGTCCTTGAAGGCCTAGGGCGCTTGTGCGTCTGGTGCGTGTGCATGTGTGTGGGTTTGCTACAAATCGAGCTGGAGTCATAGGCTCGACTTACTGCGCATGCTTGCATTTTTAAACAGACTGCGCGTACCTGTGGCAGTGTTGAAAATGACTGAAGATATCGAAAGTACTCCCTTCGTCTAACCAACTTTCCAATTGGCTGATCGTGCATGCGTGCATTTTGTCCTCGATATCATGTAAATAATGCACGATCGGGTGTGTGTGTGTGATTGCAAGAATTGTCTAGTTCCACGAGAACTAGACGGTGGGTGTCGGTGTTCTGTGGCTGGGAATGTGCTTGCAGCTTGGCAACTTTTATGCGATGGTCCATAGCTAGGGACAACCCTCTCGTTACCATTATCGATTGTCGACGGCAGTTGTGTTCAGTCTAACTGCGTAGTCTGTATTCGAGCAAGTCAACCGCAGTGGTTGGGCATCTATCTGACAAACTTCGACTCCTCATTCAGTAGTATTTTGTTGATTTACATAGCTCCAAATTATAATAAACTCGTCCTTCGTTCCTGTCAGAATAATACAAGACTCTGTTAGCCTTTGTTGCTTGCCTAATAGACCGAACTCCGTCTATATATCCAGCTTGTTAACAGCAAATTCGGTCCATGGTCGCTGTGGCTGTGAACATCATGAGTCCATCCCATTTTTAGGTAGTAAAAGTTTTTTAGTTAAGGGGCGACTATATTCACCACCACAACTACCTTCAGCGTTTGACGAAAACTCGTAGACTACTTCTGTCTTTTCAAGTAAGTATTCATGCCAATTTGGCTGACGCAAACCGCGAATTGTCATCTTTAACAAGCCACTTCCTTCAATGCGACAATCAATCCAATTGCATTCAATTTCGTCAATTTGGTTAACGTTGCGTTGTTGAAATACCAATAATTACTTAGGCTATAGCCGTCCTATTGAAAAATTTGGTTTGATGCTAAAATAAACGTAGAGACAACGCGAGAACTTGTATTTGTTCTAGGCGAACAAGCCATTCAAACACCTAAATTGCTGCAACAATAACCCTCCGCGTTGATAGATAGGATTTAATCATTTATCGGATGGCTATCGCAGGCTCCTAAATTTCGTCATTAGCTTAATCGTTTTCAGCGAATCGGTGGGTGTGGGACACCCCACGTGGACGCATGATAATGTTGCCTTGACAACTGCGATCTCTACATCCCGGTAAAACAATTAAGTCCCCCCACTTCACCTCCCCTGCTAGCGCCCCCTGCTAATCGCGCCAAATTCCTCTTTAATACAGGTGGAAATGTCATTATGTGAGAGCGAGGTCTAGTGTGACGTCTAATCAAATTGAGAATTCCAGCTGTTTTGTGTGTTTCGAAACTCGTCATTTAATTGGCAAATTCAAATATCGAATTAATCTATCTCCTTGGCACCCAGAAACTAAATTTTTAAATTAATACAAAGAAAAATCATCAAGTAATGGAACTGTAAACTTTATTGGTATGTCCAGAGAAAACGGGAACATCGTTGGAGGGAGGGCATTATTTGTAAAATATTCAAACTTCTTTCATGAGTAAGAGTTGAATTTTTCAAGACTTTGTCCATTTTCTAAAAATTTGATTTTTAATGTGACTAACACTTTGAAATTCCGCGTGAAATTAACTATTATGGCAAACTTGATTCCTGACTCAAGTTGACGTTAGGCCAATAATCTTGCCCAAGAATTGGCCCGCATTTCCAAATTACCGTGACTTTAGGCGTAAAAATTATTGTTTCCAAAAAAGATCTCCTTAACTGAGTCAGCAACAGTTGGATTGGTAGTTTGGAGTTATCTCAAAATAATGAGTAAAAGTAGCGGGAAATCTTTGCTGCATGGTAATAATTGACACTGTACGAGGGACCCAAGGAACATGGCATTCCAGCTAATCGTTGAGTCAATATGCATCTGCACCAATCAGCATCCATTTCAGAACGGTGGGCGGATTACCTATAGACTCTTGCCTTAATCTGCGAAAAATACAAATCAAATAGATGCGTATAAAAATCGGATAACTAAAGAGGCGGACGCTGATTGCTAGTCAATCAAACAGTTCATGAGTTCAAATTTAATGAGAAGACACAATCATTATGACTTACTTTTCACTGACCTTTACCTTGAACTAAAGAACTTGATTTCACATGAAAATACTTTCGCCGTCTTTTGCAGTTTTGGAAGGATCTGCCGCAGGGTTTCACAACACAGAATGCCAAGCCTACGTGAGTTGCATAACCTCGCAGAATAGCGGAGTGTACGATGGCATCTAATACACAGCACATTCGATGGTATTGCGTCGTATATCAATTCCAACCAGGACAACTTGCTGTGTCCTTGGTGCTGACGTTGTGTTTGATGGAACTTTAAAACCTTTTTATAAGTGGTTATTACGAACCTAGTGAGCCTAGAATGTGTGAAGATGCGAGATCATAGGCCCTACGGAATGGAGATTTAACGTAATGAAGCGAAGAACTTAATCAGAAAGAGATAGTTACAGGGCAGGGAAGCCATACAGTTGTTAAATGACAACGCTGGACTGCCTCACGTTGCCCGCACGACTCAGAAGACCCTCTTGAACTTGGGATGGGAAACTCTTCCGCAAGCGGCATATTCACTAGACTTGGTCCATCCCGCTACTGTTTGTTTCGGTGAATGAAGCAGCACGCCTTGGGGAATAAACAGTTCAAGCCGCTGGAGACAAAGTGGGCAAATTAGTTTAAAAAGACTTGATTGCCTCAAGTTACTTCCGCGAAGGTATTGTACGTCACCTAAGAGATGGTGCAAGGTTATTGTAAGTTACGGACACAAAGAACATTGCCACCAAAGAATTCAGACAATATTTTGATGTCCAAATCTGGCTCCACAGTCAACTTAGACGTCAAGATCTTCCGAACTTTGTAATTGCCATTGTAAAAGAAATGTCGGCTGAGGAGGTGGCGGTTCCTTCTGTCTGGGAAACTGGAAAATTTGTAAAAAGGCACACGCAGACAAGTTCTTCCTGTGAATGAACGTCGCAGCAAGTCATTGATAATGCAAAAATTTGCGAAACGAGCAATCATTTTACTGGTGTTTTAGTTCAAAACACAAAAAAGCTCACATAAATTAAGATGTTAACCGAAACGCGCAGTTCTCGAATCCAGCAGCCAATTGAAATGCACTGTTTATCATTTAACCAATCAATTCAGACCAATGTGTGATTACTGCTCGCATCAAATTCTACCCAATCCGATGCCAGACGGAATGGATCTACCCGAGCCCCAGTATGAAAAAGGCGGGCACAGCAAATCGATCTTTATTAACCAATCAAGATCCAGAACCGCTAGTCAGGCGAACCTCATCCAAGACCACATTAAATCTATTGCTTCTTATCCGTCTTTGTGTCTGACCACCTCACAGGCCGCTCAATCTTGCAGAGACAGAGGATTGGCTGAGCTCGGCGTGGGCTGATATGTCTGCGCCCTCGCTTGTCACTAATTAAACACGCCATCCCGTAAACAACTAAATTCTCATAACGAAGATTCCGCTCTGCATTCACCAGGGAGAAATACCCTGCCAATAAGTGTGTTTATCGTTCCCCTCACTACGTCTAGCGCAAAATTTTCCCGCAGAATTGACCCGATTGGTCATGTGTGTGCGTGTGTGCAAGTTTCATTTGCGAACAATAAAATGTCCATTCCACGGGCCAATAGCTGTGTTAAAATATGGGCATATGGTAGGGGACCCATAGGCTTGGCAGTACCTATAGTGGGAATTCGTGGAGGCTAAGTTGTCAGATGCCGCGGGCTCATAAAAGTCAATTTTCGGGCTAGCACAACTGCTCGCATTAACCGCAACATGGAAGACTTCCCCGTTTTCTCGCATTGATCACCCCCAGGGGTGTTGGCCAGTCCTCTTTCCCGAGGTGGGGAAGGTGTGTGCTTCCTGGACATCCGGAATCGGATTCTCTAACTTGTCGATGTGTACTTTCCACTTTGTTGAGCTGTTCCATACTAAGGCACATACATATTGGATGACATCGAGATTTGTGTGCGTTGTATCCGTCATCTTCATATTAGGACCCGGATATTCTAACGTTTTGTTACTGCAAGATAGGTCGGCGAGCAGAAGTCAACGAATAAAAGCCAATGAGGTTAAACAGCGACGGTATCTAGCCACTGATTGATTAACGTGTGTTCAACTCGATTGAAGACGCGGTGACCAATGGCAACCTTAATGGCGGCAAGGCAAATCTGCGCGTAGTTTAAATT